TGGGAGAACAGTCATTTACCACATACAGTTTGAGAAGCTCTACTTTAAGAGAACCAATTAATTCTAATATAACTATATATTCATAGGAATAATTTTTTAAACATTTTTCACATTTCCTGGCAGCCATGTTTCATGAAAATGTCTTTAATGGAGACATCAAAGGACTTTTCAAAAATTTAACCAGTCCCTGAAATTTCAGATTTTTCACAACTTTCTTCATTCACTTCACCCTTTTCCTTGCAAGAATCCTGGCTGTTGGTTTCAATGAAGTAAGTTTCTTCACCGTTCTCTTTTCTATTTTTTCTTTATTAAAGCTTTTTTATCTTCAGTGAACCTTTTCACTTCTTGGTTGAAGTATTCAACCACATTTCCACTTTGGCCTTTCTTTGAAACAAAATCACATTTCTAGTTCCCTTAAGTTGTTAAAATAGTGTTTTTCTTGTTATTTTTCACGTATTACCTGAGATGATCTCATAAAGAGTTCTTGAATATCTAACTCGTCTAATAAGAGAGTCCTTCCTATGCGGTGCACTGCCATGCTCACGTGCGATTTGCTGTAGGGAATCTTCAGAAGCTTTTTTATGTTCTTGAAAAAAATCAAGAGGAAAAAACAATTTAGAAAGACCTTTGTAGTGTGATCTGGAATCTTTCAAATTTTAACTTCACTCAACTTTAAAGCATAATAAACCTTATTTCCTTAAGGTCATACAAACTGTATTTTACACAAAAAGCTACCTATAAACACATAGAAGACAGAGTTTTAGAAGCAGAATCACCTACATTGTACCAGTCACCCTGTGTTAATGTAAATGACAGTCAAAGATTTATTTGTACACGATGGAATTTCATAAAGTATGTACAGGTCACACTGTTGCACTGACCCAGGCTTTTAGCATCTCAGATAAAATTGGCCAACTAAGGATCAACAGATTTTACCAAAAGTATCACATCTAATTCTCAACTAGTAACATTACATAACTCAACATTATAATTGCTATCATCAAAACTGCTATCATTAAAACACAACCATCAATACTAATATTAATTACCACTGCCACTATTTGGGGGGTTGCTCCCTCCTCTTTGAGGAAAGATGCAGTGAACAGTGTTACTTTAATAAAAAAGGTATTCAATAATCAGATAGTTGTAGCTTATTTCATCACTAATTTTTCAAGACTGCAGACAAAGCAGGCTATAAATCCCCAGCACAAACATCCCAACTACATTTGCAATAAGAACACTTACTTCAGAGTCAGAGACAACATCCACATCATTTCCCACTGAATCAATAAAGTCGTATGCCATCCCAAAGCTGAAGGAGAAAACAAAGGCCACAAAAATCACGTTCAGGGTGGTGCAGGTATTGTTTATAATAGAATACTACATTTCATCGTTTCTTGGATACACGTTTTTCACATTCTAACACCTCCGAAATCAGTATGCCTATCACCATTACAGTTGGCTAGTTTCTCCTTCTTAATGGTACATAAAATAATGGGGTCACTTAACAGACATAGAAAACAGACTTGTGGTTCCCATGGGGGAGGGGGAGGGGGAGAGGGATGGATTGGGAGTTTGGGATTAGCAGATGCAACCTATTATATATAGAATGGATAAACAACAAGATCCTACTGTAGAGCACAGGAACTAAATCAATATCCTGTGATAAACCACAATGAAAAAGGATATGTACATATGTGTGTGTACGTGTGTGTGTGTGTGTGTGTGTATATAACTGAATCACTCTGCTGTACACCGGAAACTAACATAACATTGTAAATCAACTATAGTTCAAGAAAAAATAAATTTAAAAAAATTAAAATAATGGGGTGACTTAAAAATCAATAGCATCTTGGATTTGATAAAAGATAGTAATAACAGAATAGTAATAGAAGCAATTAATAGTAAATATTTAGAATAAAAACAATTAACAATTATTTTTATTTCTGTAGTCATGAAGTCTAAAAAATATCCAATAGAAAACAGACAGTTAGAGTTGTTATTATTTTTAGGTGGGGAGATGAGAAAAATAGCAACAGAAACATTTATCAGAATTTTTGTCTCTGGGATTATGTTCCCAGTGATATACACTACTACCCTTTTAAAAAATATATGAGAAAAAAATGCACATGAAACCAATTCAACCAGAAAGAGAAAAAACAGCTAACTGAGCACCCAACTTGTGCCAGGTACCACATGAGGCACATCTATAATCTGCAAGCCTGAAAGGCAGCCGATGTCACCATTTTTCAGTTTGTAGGAAGCAGAGAGTCAAGATACTTATTTAGGACTGCCTCACTTCAAAGCATGCTGACGATTTACCATGTGGTCTAGGCAAGTTACTTAACCTTTCCAAGCTTCAGTTTTCCGCAGGAAAGTTAGTTAACAGTACCAAACTCAAAGGGTTGTTGTGAGAATGAAATGAGATAAACATATAAAGTACTCAGCACAGTGTCTGTACACAGTCAATATAATTATCATTTAAATCACTTTATAACATTTAATTCTGTTGACCTACAATTTATTAAGCCATTCTTCTAAAAGAAGATACGCAGACTACTTCCAATTTTTTTTTTTGCTAGTATAAATAGTGCTACAAACAAGCAACATTTTACAAATATAACTTTTACCTTCTGAGACATTAGGATAATTTCCAAACTACTGGCACATAAGGTACTAATGTATTTATGGCTCTTGCTATATGTTATGCAGAAATATTTTAGGTTCAATCGCTAAGAGGAAAAAAGAGAACCCCATACATTAAACGGTCTACAAGAATATGGACATCATTACATTTTTCTCTGTAAGACCCAGGCCACTCTCTCAACTTTAAATACCACCACCAAGTGTCAAAGTCAAGGGTGTACATCACTCGACATGCTGTGTTTTTACATCACTGCTTTTTCAGCCCAGACAATCCACCACCATTTAATGAAAAATTCCACAAGACAGGTTAGGCAGTGTTAAGGGTTTTCCTCATCACGTGCCACCCTGATTCTCTGCATTCACACATTCAAAAGGTATGTAAATTGGCTAAAATTAAAATAGCTGATGGAATTTTAGTGGTCAAAACTCATCTTTGTTAATAACGTGATGCAGACTTGAAAGAAGCATATGCGATTGATATCTTCATATTTTAACAGAGTCCTATTATCAGGGGGATAAAGGACATTGAAAGTCAAATACAATCTTTTACCAAAGCGAAATCTTGGCACGTTGATGAGCATTACAAATTAAACTGAACAGCGAGTATTAAGAGTTTTAAGGTGGAGGGTTGAGGGACTGGTAAAAATGCCATCAGTTAATATTTACCTTGAAAATGGCTTGCTTTTCCTACTGTTGCCAAGAATGGTAGTTCCTGCTGGTCCTAGTTTGGCACTCTCTCGTAACCAGTTGGCAGGTGGGAGTTTCAAGTCTGTTTTCTCTTGGAGGCGTGCAAATGCTGTCCGAGGAGGGGCAGAAGAGTATTTCACCACAGCTCGGCTCTTCACTTCATTGCCTCCAAGAAATAAAGCTGATCCCTGATTAAAACATTAAATGAAATTTTAATATACACTACTAGGAATAAAAATACCCCACCTTAATAATAATAAAAACCCTACCACATCAGGCTTACAAGAACATATACTACATGTTACTAACAGCAGTTAATAAATGTGAGCGTAAATGTGTACCATTTACTTAGCTCTTTTTCACATAATTTCAAAGAAAAAAAGATGAGTCAAGGAGTGTGATGGGTTATTAGCTAGGAAACAGGCCAACCGAACTATCTTTTAAAACATTCATAAAAAAGTGTAGAAGCAGAAACCAAGGAGTCAAGAGTAGCACGTTAACTAAATGCAAAATTTAATAAAACCTCTGTTCAATATTAAAGATGTATTTCAATGTCAATAACATACATCATTTAGAAAGTAGTTTGTGGTGAGATATCTGGGCCTTTTTTGTTTTTAAGTAAGCGTTTAGCAACTGATTAGTCAGTTTACGACACAAATACTCTGAATGTCTAACTTCATAGCAAGTCCCTGGGGGGTGCGCACAGATTTCACTTGCACATCCCCAAGAAAGCTCAGGGTCTAAGTTAACTCTTCCAACCTTCCTTCACGTAGCCCCGCTTCGGCCTGGCAAACACTTTGCGCCCTTCTAACATTAATTAGCTCAGTGCCATCTCGGTGAGCTTGCTCTCTTCTCCCTTCAGCTCTGCAAGGCTGTGCCGACTTGGGAACCACATATTTACACGTACGCTTCTTGAGAGCGGAGGTCGTGTCTAACTCACCTGTCGGTTATCTTCGACTGGGAAGCCAGGACTGCTTTTGATACGAATGATCTGCAAGTAAATGCCTGAGTACACCGACAGGCACACGGACTTCCACTCCGTTTGGGGGGCCGTCGGGGAGGCGTGGAGAAGGCGCCAGAAGCCGCCGGGAACCGTGACATCCCTCCCGGCCGAGCGGGCCCGCAGCCCACGGAGCCCTGCAGGTCCCGCCCCACCGCGGACTCACCTGTGCAGAAGGTTCCTCGGACTCTCCTTGGGACAAGAGGCTGAGCCCTCCCCGAGCAGCGGCCCCGGCCGGCGGAGCCTCGGTCCCGGCCTCCTTAGAGTCCCCCATCACCTCGGTCCAGGTGAGGCGAGGTGAGGCGAGGCGACGCGAGGCGACGCAAGTCTCGACCCGAGAAGCCGTAACAAGTTGCCGGGCCCAGAGGCGCTGCTGGCCAGCAGAGCAGGAGCCAGATACGCCCCGCACTTCCGGCCTCTGACAGGAAGAACTGGACCGAACGCGTTCAAATCTCGCGACTTTTGCTCCAGAGGCCCGGCCCCGCCTCCCCCGGTAGATACCAGCTTCGCGGCGGGGGCGGGAACTGTCGTGCGCTGATGTCTGCCAGAGTTTCTGCGGGAAACTACTTCTCGCGTTATCTGACTCCCAGGCTCCACCCCTTGCACGCCGGTCTTTGTTGGCCAACCGTCCTCGGGACTTGGGCTTTGGGCGGAGTCAAAGTCGCAGAGGTCTTCTCTGCGTGGGCGGGGAAGAGCGGCCGTAGTTGTAACCAGCGGCTCCCGTTACGTAAAGTAGTGAAGTGTCAGCGCTTTTCCCGCCACAGCTTTCAGTGCCCCTTCGGTTTGCAGTCGGGCTCACAGGCCCAGGAAGGGAAAGACATGCCCAGGTGAGGGGCCGTCCAGACTCAAGCCAGCCCGGCCTCGGCGTACTGTCCGCTAATCGCAGTGCGTGCATGGGCCTCGCGGTCCCGAGTGTAGGAGCGGCGGGGCTCCGCGGGGAGAGGAGGCCCTCCGCCTTTGCTGAAGGGATGGATTTCAGAGGAGACGGTACCGCCAGAGGTGCAGAGTTTGCTGTTTAGTGACGCCTGGAGCATCTACGGAGAGCCCCGTATTTGTCGGGCCCTAGGGAACTAGCAAAGGGCATTCCGGTGGTCCAGGGACTTCTCGAGCGTTAAAGGGCTCAGGAAACACCTGGGGATCTAGTTGACATGCAGATTTTGATTCAGTTGGTCTGAGAGGGGCCTGAGATTCTACATCTCTACCAGACCCCCAGGAGATGATGCCAGTGCTTTGAGTAGCAAAGAGGTAGAGAAATAGCCAAGGTCTGTGTAAAGCTTCGAAGGTGCTCGGCTCTCTTAACCTCTGAGCCGAAACCCAGTATCGTATCGTTACATGCAGCCACAGCCTTCATAAAACTGTTTTGTTTTGCAGTAAAATATTGAAAGTTTCTTGAAAACTTAGTTTTGCCTTGGCAATTACTTGGCTATCTCAATTTGTAATTTACATCAGGTGCTGATAATACACTAATTATCTGCAGATTTAGAAGTCCTTGTAACTGTTAACAAACTCAATTTACAAATTGTTTTCAATTGTAACAAAACATTTTTATGATTTATATTTAACAGTGAATTTAATATCATAGTATATTTTGTAGAACTTAAATCAACATGTATTGGTTTTGATATCTATAATTTTCTGCTTGTATTTTGCAGTCAATTTTTTTCATTTTTTGCAAGTAACATTGTTATTTTACATTATAGTAAAAAGTTGAACACAACTTAAAGGTCTAAGGACATTAGGAGGATGGTTAAGTCTACTTTTGGTACATAATACCATTAACTTGTGCAACTATTATCAATAAATTGTTTTTAAAGAATATTCAAGAACATTTAAATTGCACATTGTATGTTAATATAAGTGTACCTGTACTGTAAGATCGTGTGCGATGTTGTGATAAAAAAAAGTAAAGCAAACCTGTGATAAGATCTTAATTTCACAAACATGTTTATTTCTTTGTCAATGTCCATAAAAACATATCTCTACGGGGTAAAATGAAATGATTTAAAATTTATTCTTTAAAGCTTCATTTTCCTGTTTTTGTTTCTGATTATGCATTATTTTATAGTAAAATGTCATTTTATTAAGCTTTTATACATATATAATTTAGCTTCTAATCATCTTTGAATTCTGTTGTTCTATTGTATAATTCTGTGTTTGCAAGAAGGGATTTCCTGATGTAGCAGTGATTCTTTCTTCAGGACTCACATATACTGCAGGCCTCTTGAGAAGTAAGTGCCTGAACCCTTGTTGATAATGCTTCGGGAGAAAATGTGCTGGAAACAGCCTGTGAAAAGGCAGCGAGAAGAGTGAAACACAGAGAACCGGGAACGCAGCACAGAAAAAGAGAGGTCAGCGGCAGAGGGGACTATGGGAGCGGGCGTTGGGCTGGGGGAACCAGGGACGCCCAGGAACTGTTTGTGGAAGGAAACCTGAGGAGGGACCAGATATTCTGGGGCCTCTCACAGGGCAGGACTAGAGAGATTTAGGTAGTGAAGGAGGATGATCCCTGATGGCAGGAGAAACTGAGCACATCTGAATTACATAAAGTTTACACATTCTTCTAGCTCTAAGTGCTTATTAATTTTTTTCTTTTTCCTCTTCAGAAACGTTTATGTGCTGTGGGTTTAAGTTAATATAATTGTTTTTAATGTCTGTGATTGAAATATAATGTGGGAAAACATGGATCATTACTTCCAGAACTTCACATTTTAAGACACTTATTTATGTTCATTTTTATATTTTCCCAGTGTCTGCCTTCCCCTCCTTCCCTGCCCCCCAGGTCCCAGCGCCCGTCAAGGTGTACTTCATCATCTGTGGCTTGCTCTGCCCTGCAGGGGCAGTTATCCTGGATCTTGTAACCAATCAGTGCTCTCACATGTTTACCTGTCTTCCCAGTGCCTGACGCCATCACCACTAAAGAGATGTTTGCTGAATGAATGAACTGCTTATAGTTTGATGCTTCCACAAGTTGTCCCATAACCTGTGTCTGCTGGTGCTTTTCCTTTGCCTAGAATACCTTTCCCTTCCTCACCTGGCTCATTCCTAAAGACTCATCCGTCACAGGTATCATCCCTAAAAAGTCTCTCCTGACACCTCCCTCTCCTTACCCCATAGGGTCCCTTTCTTTGTTCCCAAAACTTGTATGTAGCTTTTTCCTGCACTTGCCCCCTTATAGAAAAATTACGTACTTGTATCTACGTCCCTTGCTGACTGTGAGCTCCTCAAGGGCTAATGTTCTGTCTAATCATCTGTTTCACCAATGCCAACGCAGCACCAGCCCACAGAACTGTTTTAGCCCTCGGGCTAATGCAGCTAAAATGACTGGTGCCAACAGGCTTTTAAAATGCTTATCAAAATGTTCGAGACATAAAAACAATGTTGTTGGCTCCAAGATATACATATTTTTTTTTTTTTTTTTTTTTTTTTTTTTGTGGTACACGGGCCTCTCACTGTTGTGGCCTCTCCCGTGCGGAGCACAGGCTCCGGACACGCAGGCTCAGCGGCCATGGCTCACGGGCCCAGCCGCTCCGCGGCATGTGGGATCCTCCCGGGCCGGGGCACGAACCCACGTCCCCTGCATCGGCAGGCGGACTCCCAACCACTGCGCCACCAGGGAAGCCCCATATTTTTAATCTTGCAAAATGAAAGCTACAATGTTTAATGAAGTAGCTACAAAATTTGCAGTGCCAATGTCATTAATTATTAAAGTTAGTATTCACAGTTTGTTCCATTCTAAAACTACTTGTATGTTAGATTTTCTCTGCTTACAAAAATCCTCCCAGAACCCAAGATGATTTCAGAGAAATGCCAATCAAAAATTCATTTAGTTGTAGCACACAGTACTTTCCAAAGCAAAATGAGAAATCTTTTCTAAAACTTTTACAGTTGCATGTAAGGCAGATATGCTTAGGGCCCTTGGAATTCCCGAACAGCCCCACCTGCAGAGAAGGAAACTTCAGGGAGTGCTTAGACTGAGGCTTGGGCCCTTCGGTCTGTTTGCCACCATCCCCTCCATGACCTAGTGTCTTAACCTACTCAGCCTCGCTTGTGTACTTTGCCTGCTGGTCAATGAAAGTCCCTGGTTTTCTGATTCCTGGTCCTGGACTTTGAGCTGGAAGAGAGATTTGAGATTATCTGAGCCAATCCTGTCCCTCTTTAGATGAGAGCAGTGCAGTCCAGAAAGGAGGATAGAATTGACGTGTTGAATATCGTGCAAAGGTAGTTTAAATAGCAAAGGCAGGACTGGTACCCAGGTCCCGGAGTACTAGTAAGTACACTTAGTCTTTAAAACAGTCAAATTGCAAACACTGGCCAGTGGAACTTTAATTTGCTTCCGAATCACCTGAGGAACTTGTTAAGCGAGCAAATCCTCTAACCACCTCCAGATGCTAAGTCAGTATTGCTAGGCCAGTGCTGGGGAATCTATGTTTTTGGTGAGTTACTAGTGTCTGACCACCTTGGCCTGCAGACCACAACTTAGAACAGTGATCTCCAAGGATTATCCCCTGGGGTGCAGGAAGAACTGTGGCTTCTGTTTTGTTTTGTTTTTTTAATCTGGAAAGTAAAGGCAAAATTAAGCCTTACTAATGCTTAACATACAGGTTGACACAGGTGCCCTTCCTTGGGCCATGGTCAGCTGGTGTATCAGTCCAGTATGATTGGGTTATGCAGCCAAAACAAATGATTCCCAGATGTCAGTGACTTAAACTAGGGATGCCAAATAAAATAAATAAATTTAAGATAAACAGAAAAAATTGGGGGTAAGAATTTCCAAATATTTAGTAGCAGTATGTCACATGTGACATTTGGGACAGACTTTCACTGGTCCAGGTAATTTTTACTCCAGAACCCAGGTTGATGAAGCAACCTGCATCTGGAACTAGTAGGGGTGGTGGGGCAACAAAGAGATTGGTGAACCATGAACTAGCTCCTAAAGCTCCGGCTCAGAAGTGAAAAACATACTGCCTCTCACTTTTTTTGGCCAAAATGATACACGTGGCCAAGCTTAGCATCCAGGTGGTGGTGAAGACTAATGGTCCCCTAAGGAAGGACATTGGGTGTCTGTGGACCATTATGCAGTCTACCACGGCATTTAGTGGCTTGGATGGGCCACTGGATGCCATCCACAGGGTAAAATATGACAAAACAAGACCTTTAGGGACTTCACTGGCGGTCCAGTGATTAAGACTTTGCCTTCCAATGCAGGGGGTGTGGGTTCCATACCTGGTTGGGGAGCTAAGATCCCACGGGTCTCACAGCCAAAAAAACCAAAATGTAAAACAGAAGCAATATTGTAACAAATTCAATGAAGACTTAAAAAAAAAAAAAGACCTTTAGAAGAATCTTTTCAGAGTTTTGTAATAAGATGGGGGTGACCTTGAAAATCTCATGTACCACACAGATCACAGATCATCTTGTGACAAAGCACTTGAAAGAACTGTCAAGCTTAAAAAATGAGTTACTATATTTTGTTTTACAGAAAGTATTCCACATTTACTCATCTTTTCTGTGATGACAAGTAGCTGTCATTAGGATGGTGTAGGAGAGAGTTTCACAAAAATAAACAGACTTAATCTGTTCCTTCATGATAATGGTGATGTTTTTAACAATGAGTGAGAAACTCATTGGTTTTCAAAAGAACTGAATCCTATGGAGAGAGCATTTCTGAAAATAGAGGTTTGCAGATCTTTCCAGTGTTACATGATTTTGTTGCTAAAAGTGACATGTATCGCTTATTAAAAAAAAAAAAAAAAGGCAAATATCCACACAAAACTTAGAAACTGAAATTTCTCACCTCTTTAAAAAGCTCTCCCAGATGGAGAGTTTTGGGATCCACGTCGTAATTGTTTTCTTTGATACTGCTAGTTGGCCTACTCAGAACGCCCAGACTGATCTCTTTGTCAGTCTCCAACTGATTTGTTTACCCCCAAAATGTGCATGTAAGATTCACTGTTCCCAGCTGCCAGCAGGGTTTTTCCTCTCTCCTCTATTTTATACATCCTGTTTTTAATTGTGTTCCATGACAACAGTCAATTGACCTTTCTTCCTCATGTACAAGTAAATGAATTGCATGTAAAACAACTAGCTAAGCATCTCTGAATTATTCCTTGACACCATTTAATTGGTTTGTAAAAGGAGGATTGGTGGACTTCAGAGAAGATGGAGATTTAGCCAAATTTCATTTAAAACCTTTGCATGATTTGTGGAAACAATTGAAATGAGCAGTTTGACTTGGTAAGCGGTGTGATTCTTCCTAGTTAGTTTACTTATCTTTTGAGATACTTTAAGCAATGACAGCCATTAAAACCAAGTTTTAAAATAAACGGAACTTAGAAGCACACTTCAAATTGTTATATCACAGCGTTTTCAGCCAAGAGTCACAAAAATAAACCTATTTGACCACTTTACTCTCTTTAAAAAAATGCTAGCGAGAGCAGAACTAGTTTGCAATCAATAAATAAAATTAAAATATTTAAAATATTGTTTTAGACTTTGAACATTTTCTACTTTTGTATTTTTATGCTAATGTATTACTGCCAGTATATTATTTACAAATAAATTAAGATGCATATATTGGGGCTACATGTTCAGAATTTTTTTCAACTAATAATAGTATATGATAAGAGTTTATAGACCACTGCCTTTCGAACCAAAAACCACATGCTAGCTACTCTTTAGGTCAAGAACAGTTAGTAAATTAATAATCTATATTTTCCTTTACACTTTAATTTGACCAAAGTAGAAAAATTTTAGAGTATAAGGTAATGCAAACCTTGATGTGCCATTTACCAGTGTCATAGCAAGGAGCCCTTGGTTACAATTACAGGATACCTTACATACTTATTCTTGATAATTATTTAATTGTTGTTCTGTAGATTAATAACATTTAAGCAAAATACTTGAAACTATTTGGAAATCATTTCGACTGCATTTGAACTCAATGCAGATACTTTTCTAGATACACGATGAACTCAAATTCTTTTGCAAGCTATTAGCCTTGACTTTCAGAATCCAACACAGATGATCGTAGGGGCAGGTTGTCTCTGCTGGGTGTTACTTTCCCAGCAGAAACGTCCTTAAAGTCTTTGTGAGTTTTATCCTCCTAAGCTGATTATTACCCTAACCGAATCCTAGCAAAAGTTCCTAACTCACTAACGACTGCTCTCCAGGCACCTCAATGGTGGCTGGAGCACGAGTGGTGATTCATGCTGGGCACACACCTTAGGCTGAGGGTGAGAAGGAAAGAATTCTCAAATGAACCTTCAAATCAATCCCTCAGGCAGGCCTCTGCCTTTCCAGTTAAGGGCTTGGCCTTTGCAGACCCTAAAGAATCATTTAGCCATTAAGCATTTCCAAGGAAGTTTCCAGTGGAGAGAACAAAAGGAAGGCATCACTTAGTGCAAAAGTGTCCAGTGTCAGAACTGGACCTTTTTACTAAACATTTCTATATTTGTCTTCCTGTGGGCATTGAAGAGATCTGTTTTACCTTGTCAGTGTAATGCAGTTACAAGGCTGCACCCAGGAATGGAATCCACTGCAGGAGCATGTTGGACAGAATGGTAACTACTGGATGGACCATGAGTGTTATCCACATATGACAGTTTTTTACATATTTATTTACATTTTGTTCTCTCCAGGAAATGAAGCCAGAATCCACAGATGTCATTATCCATCTGCACACTTTTGTTTACTACCCAGAAGGCAAGAATATTGCATCTTAAAAGTGTCTGGACTTTTGTTCTTTCTTATCACAAATGACTTGAGAAGATCTGACCATTCACAGTTACCCAGAGTGGAAGTGCCAACGACATGCTTCCTGGAGCGCTTTGAGATTCAGGTACAAAAGGCATTTTATAAGCACAGAGTGAAAAAGCATCATTTATATTCATTTGCTGCTGTGGCATTTCTCTCTGGAATCTTCCTCGTGTCTGTCAACATTGTGCAAAAGGACTGGCCTCATCTACATTACAAATATCTCTCCTTTAATGGTCTGGAAGTAGGAAAGGGACTGCATAAGAGCGAGCTCTCGTGTTGGAGGGTCTCCCACTTGTTTATCCCTAAAACTGGTTGGACATGGTCGCTGTGGATGTCATGAATTATTTTGGAAAGACCTGAGTATGAACTCAGTACAGTGCTTTGTGCATCTTGGCTGCAGTGAATGTGTATTATCTGACTTCAGTGACTCATGGGAGAATCACAGCCTTAGGGAAGAGCTTCTGAGGGGTCATTTAGAATGGAGCCATTCTGGACAGACGGTGGTCAGTTCTCTGCTAGCTTCCGGAGTGGAGAAGTTTCCACCATGATGGCTCCTTTGACCCGTGGCAGATCCTTTCTTGCAGGGTCCCTGCTTGGTATGATTTAAGAAGCATCAAGGACTTTCTGCCCCAGAAGATCTGTGTGTGACATCACACACATGGATGAGGGTTTGCCAACTGTATTAGTTAAAGTAGAGCCTGGCTTGGAGGGGCTCCCATGCCCCTCTGGGAATGTTCTAGAACATGGGGCATTACCCAAGAGACAGAGCCTGGGATGGTGTTACTCAGGTCAAAGGTCTGAGCGTGGGGGGCCATATAAATGAGTGGTGGGGCGGTGTGTATAGATGCAGGAGAGGTGCTTGGAGAGCAGGAGTGCTGCTACCAGGAGAGATGGTTCCCAAAGGGAGAGACCCATGTGCCAAGCCCTTCTCTTTTTCCTCTGCCCAGGGTCCCTTCTGAATCTGCAAATCAGCTGCTGCTTCTCCTCCTCCTTTGCCTTCTTCTTCAAATCTTTTCATCACAAAAATTTCAAATATATACCTAAGCAGAGAGAACAGTAAAATGAACCCCCATGTACCCATCACCATTATCCACCTTGAAAAATGACCAACACCATCCAGTCTCCTTCCACACACCCTCCCCTTCCTCAGATGATTATTGAAATTAGCTCATACTTTTTTAAAAAAAATAAATTTATTTGTTTATTTTTGTCTACGTTGGGTCTTCGTTGCTGCGCACGGGATTTCTCTAGTTGCGGTGACCCGGAGCTACTCTTCGTTGCGGTGCACAGACTTCTCATTGCGGTGGCTTCTCGTTGCAGAGCATGGGCGCTAGGTGCACAGGCTTCAGTAGTTGTGGCACATGGGCTCATTAGTTGTGGCTCGTGGTCTCTAGAGCACAGGCTCAGTAGTCGTGGCACACAGGCCTCGTTGCTCCGTGGCATGTGGGATCTTCCCGGACCGGGGCTGGAACCTGTGTCCCCTGCATTGGCAGGCGGATTCTTAACCACTGGGCCACCAGGGAAGCCCTCCTTAATTATTTTTAATTTAATGCTCCCTGTTGCATTTTTCTGGCCATTTTCTTCTGTCAATCACTGTCTTAAGTCAGTCTCCTGGATTGGCTATGAAAAGACACCTTTCTCAAGGGAGCCCTAAGCAGACACATTTCTCAAGGGAGAAATGTTGAGACTGGCCAAACGACGTAGGCTTAATTCAGTTCCACCCGACAGACACACGTCTAGTCCTAGGCACAGTGCTGGGTTAAGGATGTCGGCAGAACAGGGTTCCTAACCTCAAGGGCATATGATCTAGTTCTGGGAAGAGGACAAGGGCTGTAGCAAGTAGTCAGCAATAGGAGGCGGGATGTCACCACTGAGGAAGGGAAAAGACCAGGTGTGGGGGACCTTCCAGGTTGAGATAGACACACTGGGCTGGGAGGGGTGAGGGTTCAGGGAGGTCAGCAAGGGCCATGGAGCCTGAGGTGTTGAGGAGGGACTTGGAGGGTTGAGTGTGGGGTGGAACAGTGAAGGAAAAACACTTGCTAAAACGTGGAGGTGGGAATAGCTGAGGGAGCTGTGGGAGTGCCCCAGTTGGCTGGAACACAAGGTGCAAGGGGCTTGGTGGGAGGAATGGGGGAAGGAGGGGTGGTGGGGGGAGGAGGGCAATTGATTCTTCCTAGGTTAAGAACTAGATAATACTTATTTCTAAGTAAGGAAAACCAAAACTGGATTTTTAGAGCATGGCTATGAAAAACGTACTGCAGACCACACTTAAGGAAACCGGAAGAAATCAAGGTGGGCTTAATGGAAGTTAGGCAGCAGGGGTGGTATAAGAAAACTCAGGTAGCTGCCTGAAATAAAGTGGACCCAGCTTCCACTAGCCAGGCGATGCATTTTTTAAACATATAAATGAGGCTTATTGTGATTCCCCACTACATAAAATGTAAGTATAACTGTGGACTTTTTTTTGCTGCTGAGTTCCGAGAAAATATGGGGTTTTTTTGTCTCTGCCAGTGAAATAAATACGTGGACAGAAAATTCCTAGCATTGCTTCCATGTAAGGGAGGGCAAAGAAGATGGTGAGCTTTGGCAAAACGTTCGTGTTTTGTAAATGAAACAGAACAGTAACTTGATTTTTCAAAAGAATAAGGTTTTCATTACAAGTGTGGGCCCGTTTATGTTGGAAGATTCAAATGTAGCAAAACGCAAAAAGGCAAGAAAATGCATCGTCCCACTATCCAAAAAACATAATTTTTAATGTTTTTGTGTCATATGACGATTTGGGAACATGTTTTTGATACTGAATGACTTCGGTAATTCACCCCGCCCCCCTCCCCACCCCATTCATTGTGCTTATCGAGTGTTGGCATTAGTATTTCTATCTCTGTTGACTTTAAGAGGCAATCCTCCTTTGAGCTCAGATTGCAGATGGAATACAGGGGATCATCTCGATACTGAATGAGAGAGAAAGTTTATTCTCAGATATGCATGAAACCAGCCCTGTGCTTGTGTTTTGATTTTTGTTTTGTTTTTCATTTGTTTGGTTTGGTTTTTTTTTGCAGGGCCTGGGGAAGACTGTAAATGGAGTCTGCAGAGCGTATGGCTAAATATCTAAGTTATATATTAAGCCAACAAATTATTAAATAAAATATGTCCTATCCTCCTTCCTTGGCTAGTACACCTTCATCACAGCCACCCCTTGGAGACTATTAAAATGTTCTATTCTCTGACCCTTCTAACAGGTGCCCCCTGGCCACCCCTTGGGCATAGGGGTACAAACACCAGGTCCTCTGGGCGTCAGGCCTAGGAAGCACACTGTGTGGGCCCCGAAGCAGGCTTGGAGCCATTAGGGCAGGCTCTCAGCAGCTCCAGGTGGGCCTGTGTCCCTGTGTGTTGCAGGGGGGTTAGGGCAGGGGTGGCCAGAGGAAAGCCAGAGCAGGTGCCCCTCTGACTCTGATTTGAGTGAATTATTCCATGTTTCCATGTACAGGTGGTATGCTGGGTGCTGGGAACGCAAAGGTGAGTGCAAACAGTTTAGTGGGGGCATATGCAGAAGCTGTCAAGGAAGTTCCCCCTCTCAAATGTGAACTTGCAACTATGACTTGACCTAGGCAGTAAAGTCAGGGAGGAGGTAACTAGGCAAAAAGGGCAGAGAAGAGAATTCCAGGCAGAGGGAAAACATAGGTGAAGTCCAGGTATCAGCGGAGAGAGGCACAGCCATTGTGAGGCAGGGGAACACGGTGGTAAGGCTGGGATGGGAGCCACAGGAGCTTGAGATGGGAGGCGGGGCTGGAGAGGCAGGTGCACACTGACCAGGGGAGGTCTCCGTGAACTTGTTAAGGAATTTCTCAGGATCCTCAGTGAAAGGCTTTGAGCAAAGGGTCACAGGATCAGGGTAAACAAGGCTACACCATCTTGAATTGATCCTGGCTAGACATAATGGTTCTTTGGACCAGTGGGATAGTGATGGAGATGGAGAATGGCAGACAGGCTCCAGGGAGATTTGGAAAGTAAAATGGCCAGGACTTCGGGGGGATTGGATTAGGGGCAAGTGGGAAATACATATCAGGGGAAATTGGTCAAAAAAATGGGGTGGACGATCTGGGAACACTGAAAGAAGGTGAGGTTGGAGGGGTAGGTCATGAGTTGGCTCTGGGACATATAGGTATGAGGTACCTTTGGGGCACCTAGGACGGTCCTCAGCAGGCAAGAGGATATACCGCTTGAGCAGTAAAAAGAGGTCAGGGCTGCAGACTTAGGTGTGCGAGTCATCTCCACAGAGGTGGTGAGCCAACCTTAACCTTAGGGTTAGGATTAGGGTCCACGGATGTGATGTCTGGGGAGAGACTGTCCACTCACCTGATAGAAATTAAACAACCCAAGCTTTCTGATGCAGATGAGAACCTTAAGAGTGGAATCACACCAACTGTGAACAAAAATGACAAAAACCTTCTAGCAGCCTTGCTCATGACATTGGTCACTGTAAACAGGCTTGTCATGCACAAATCACCTGCAACAACAAAGAGGATTAGGGATGAGTTGGTCACTGTTGCATGGGGACTTGTTGTGCTTGTGAGTTTAAATCGGATTCCTGTTACTTGCACACCATTTTGCCATGTGTATTTGTAAATATATCTTGCTGGCATATTTTATGCTTCAGTTAATTTAGTTGACATCTAATTTAGTTGACATATAAAAATAAAATCAATTTTCAGACAAAATACCCATAAAATAAGTGGAATGCAATAATAGGTTTCAAGAAATTTAAATGTAATATATTTAGGCTTCTATTCTAAAGCAATTTCATCTAGAATGGTAGATATTGTAGATGTAATTTTTTCCTGAATCTCTGTCAATTATACAATAATAAATGTGGCTACTATATACCCAGAAATTTATTTTTTTAACATCTTTATTGGAGTATAATTGCTTTACAATGTTGTGGTAGTTTCTGCTGTATAACAAAGTGAATCAGCTATATGTATAAATATATCCCCATATCTCCTCCCTCTTGGGTCTCCCTCCCACCCTCCCTATCCCTCCCTTCTAGGTGGTCACAAAGCACTGAGCTGATCTCCCTGTGCT